TATATATATATATATATGTATATGTATATAAATGTATATATATACATACATATACATATATATACGCTCAGCATATCATAACATATACATACAATCTCACACTATACGTTATAACATATACATGTACTCTTATACTATATGTCATAGTATATATATGCATCGCACATCATGATATATATGTTCACTATCTTACTATACATAATGAAATGTACATGCATTTTACATCACACCTTATGATATATCTATGTATTTCCACATCGCACATGATAATATATATGAGCACTCTTACAATATAAGTCATAATATATACATACATATCATACATTTTTATTATAATTCATATATATTTCTTCTTATGCAATACATATATCAACGTCATGTTCATAGCTACCTCAAGGTGATCATCTCATTCAAAATATGATTTTAAAAATATATTTTAAATGTACATACTATATATGATCATTATTTTATAATAATTTAAGTTTATACTTACCTGATTCAAGAAGATGTCAATGAAAAACTATCATCCTTAGTGATCACATGTGCTAAGGAGTTAGTTATAAACACATTAAATTTGGAATATAAGGTTATGATATGCCCAAATTAAGAATCTTATATCTTAAATCACATATAACTCTTAATATAAATAATATTTTGTAGCAAAATTTAATGAAAACCTCTCAATTAAACTATGCCCAACCTATAAATTCACTTAAATTTCATTACTAATTTGCCAACAATTAAACCTATATCTACCAAATGACTTAGTCGCTACCCGTCACACAACTACATGATTTTGTGAAGTGATCTTGCTGTTATGCTAAAAAAATTTAAAAAAAATTTGAAATTTTGGAAAAAAAGAAATATAGAAAATTAAATATACATAAATTTTCAGGTCAAAACAAAAATATTGAAGGCCAAACTATCTTCTCAATTCAACAATCATCATCTATTCTGTTATGCTAAAATTAGATTAGGCTGCCTAAAATACTAAAGCTCATTTGTTGATGCACAAAGACCCTAAGGATCCTTTTAAGATATATCAAACAAATAAAAGCTTATCATGTCTCTAAGGATGTCAAATTGATTAGAAGAGAACCCTTTCACATAATATAGGAGATTCTGTATACTTTAGTTTAGAATACCTATTAAAATAATACCAAACCCTTTAAAATTAAAATAATACCAAATGCTTTAAAATCATAGTAGATTCATACAAAACACATCAAAAAATCCGAGATTAAATTTAACTACAAGTTGCTAAAAAATAGCTAAAAGTGTTAGTCTACAAATTACTAACTAAAATCCTATATAATTAATATATAGGAAAGGGTTAGGATTTCTTACTTTGAACTAAGGCCTTGGGCTTCAAGGAAGAATGATTCGAGAAACCGAAATAGAATAAGTCAAAAATTAAGATAATAGGTCATGCTTATCTTGTTTAGGGAGAAGAATAAAGATAAAATAGAGAAGATGAAAATAAATATGCTTAGTGAGTTGCCTCGATTGGTTAGGCTTAGTCCATTAGGCTCATCCATCTCAAGTTCGCTAGTATACTTATGCTTATATTATCATATGATCGTACAATTTTTCTATAAAATATACTCAACAAATAGGCATTGTTGCTTATATATATTTCAAACAGTATTTCAGAGAATTTATGTGACATTTTTGGAAGTTCATAACCTCAACTTTAAGAAACGATTAAATGAGTATCTTATATATCATAATGCATACACAAAACATATCTTTAAATAATAATAATAATAATAATAATATATGTTGTTTTAATTTTCATTGACATGTTAGTTGTAGTGTAAAACTTGGGCACTACAAGTATATATTCACATGTAGCATTGCCACTAACATTGATATAAACTTCTCTAAAAAAAATTCACATAAACTTAAATTTAAAAAGAAAAAAAATAATAATTACTTCTTATAGAGGGATATATATGCATTTAATTTTATATTAATTATATCATGCCTTGGACGGCTCTGCCTACTTCTTAGATGTCTACTTTTTCTTATAAAAACCATGATTCCTTGGAAATAAATTCAACGCCCTCAAGTTATATCAAAGCAAATCTTTTTATCATAATTGTACAAAAAGATCGATCACCTACTAATTTACTTTCTTCTTCATCATTGTACTTCCTAGAATTTTCTCTACTTAATTAAAGATTCTTTGAGACACATGGACTCAAAAGACTATCAAATTGTAAGAGGAAGGTTTAGAGAAGAAGAAAAAGCAGTCTACTATGTGTTATTGGGCTCGTAAAAATAAATGAAATTATGATAGCATATGTCCATTGGGATGTGATGTCAGTCATACTCACTTTAGCTATTAAATGATTGTTTAAGGGCAAATAATATTTTGGATATTGACTTGTATTGTTGAGGTTCGTATGGCCTTGCCATTAATTACTACATGTTGAGATTACGTGTTGGATACCACCATATGATAACATCATTATGTGTTGGATACTTATATGAGACATTATATACAAAAAATAATAATAATAATAATTATGCTTTAGAGTGGATGGGATCCACACAAAATTGGATTCCAAAAGATGCTTTTGAAGGATAGAGCTAACACGTGGCTCTCACGAAAACATCAATTCTCCCTCGATGAATATATCATATGTAATTATTCTTTATTAAATAATGAGAAAACAGTTTCTAAGGATTTTATTCTCACCCGCTATTTCTCTCCTCGGTTTCTCCGTATTTTGCTTCGATGCTTCCCATTTCCTTCCGTTGGAGCCTTTTGGAAACAGTCGCCGCCCCTCCCTATATTAAAGGCGCCTTTTGCTCCCCCTCTCTTCTCTCCTCTCCTCTCCTCTCCGCTCGCTCGCTCGCTCTCTCTCTCTCTCGCCCGCGGTGATCTCCATCCCTTCTGTCTTCGTTGTCTTTATTTTGTGCCCCCCCTCATCGATTCCAAGGCCAGCCTCGGCCCGCCACCGGATGGTTTGCTGACCTTGGAGAACGGAACCGGCTCCCCGTCGTCCAGGGTACCTTGTCTTCTTCTCTCTTTCGCCGTCACTCGGTGTCTTTCTTGTTTTGTGTGTTGGGAAGAAAGTAAAGTTCGCGACTTGTGATCATCCCGCTTGTCAAAATTTTCAGCTTTCTCGCCTGGAGTTGGTGTTTTTGGTTTTCCGTCTCCAGTTTGGTTTGTAGCTTGACTTGCTGTTTGGCGATTGGCACAATTTCTGGTAATTGGGTTTGTTCTGTGATCGGTTTGTATTGTTTTGGTATAGAGTTTTGGTTCTAAATTGATAGGTGTTGGAATTATGCAGGTTGTAATCTGTAAATCGTCTATTTTAGGAGATTCAATCCTGGTGGCAAAGAAGACATTTTTAAGGGTTATGATTGAGAGTATTAGTAAGGTTTTATAGTCTACGTAGAAGTATACCCAGTTGGGCTTTTCTTAAGCTTCATCGAGTTGGTTTTGATTTGGCATCATGGACGCAAAACGAGGAGAGGAAACTAGTCTTGTTGGAGCTGCCTCCCAGGTGAAGGAGGGGGTATCACAGTCTAATTCGAAGGGGTCTGGGAGCCTTGATGGTAATGATATGTTTGTTAGAGCTGATAAAATTGATCTGAGGAGCCTAGATATACAGCTGGAGAAGACACTCTCAAAGATCTGGTTGAAAGAAAGAAGAGGTTCTCAGAAGCCATCAGAAGAATGGGAGATTGATCTATCCAAGCTGGAAATAAGGTATGTCATTGCACGAGGGACCTATGGTACAGTTTATCGTGGCGTGTATGATGGCCAGGATGTTGCAGGTACACTCCTGAATTTTGGACAAAAGTAACTTAGATGCTATTGTGTTTCATTGCTTTATTAGTTTACTCCAGCATTTATGGTCTTCTGAGTAGTTTATACATGTAGTCTAATTTAGCAAAAAGCATTGCAGCATTTTGCATATCTTTTATTCCTACATGCTTTATATTGAATAAAAATTGGTTGTGTGGAATTCTACCAGTGGCTTTTCCATGATAATGAATTGTTACTGAAGAGAATGCAGTTTTGTTACTTAAATTCCATCATGTTTTATTAGATAAGTTTTGTGAATCTCGCATATTATATGAATTGTTGCTAAACCAATTAAGTTTGCAGATGGGTGTAAGGAGTGATATCGAACAAGTTCTTCACTTATCCTGGTTAATCTCATCAAAAGTATTTTGATTGTTGATACAATGACTGGTCCTACCAGTAGTCTTTTCGTATATGGCAATTTGATCAACCGGTTGTTTATACACTACAAGTTGTTGAAATAACAATAGTTGCCAAGTCTATGTGGCAGCAATGTTTCTGATCTGTCTGATTGGCCATGACTCTGATGAACTGAGATGTTAGTGTTTTCGAGCCTAGATATCTTACTGGCTGATCCTAGGAGAGCAAGATTAAATATTCATAATTTAGAGGATTATAGTGGTTATTTCAAAACCTTCTGATTCATCCATAATTTTCTAGCAAACTTTGCCTGAGATGTTAGTATCAATTATTCAAAAACTCATGATGCATCTTTATGCCTAAATTATCCTTAAAACCTTGCTTTTTTGTCTTGACTGATATCTCCATATATCTAGAATTTTAGAGAAAGATACAGCAGATACTTTATACATGTTCTTGTGAATTTTCTATACCAAGTAAACCAGAGAACTTGTTGGATATGAAAATCATGTATGGAAGAAAATGAATATCAAACTTTATTTAGCATTTATTTTCAGTCTTTCTTCTTATTCAATTTTTTCTTTTCTCATCTCCAATTTCTCTGCTCATGTTTTGCTTAAAACTGCAACAAAATGTTGTATTGTCATGAGGTTAATATAATTTTTTGGTTGGCCATTTTCGAGAATAAGAAAGATTTCAGGCACGTTTAATCAAAGAATAACCATTGAGCATAAGGGTATTGTTTTACATATCTTTTACAGATAATACTTGAGATGCAAATTGGTTGAAGAAAAGAGACAAAGATGACATACGAGAAGAGGTGTACCACTCTTCTTATTTGTGTCGGAAAGTGTACCCCTAGCTTCTCTTTGTGATAGTTGAGAATCCAAAAATCCATCATATATTCCTACTTAATTAACAAATAATAATATAGAACTTTGTTGGGAAATCAAAAGGAGCAGACTACTAGGTTATGACAAGTTAACCATGCTAAAAAAAATTTGGGACGGGATCAGTCAATTACTTTGGTCAAACCTTGTCTCATAGCCACAATTTATACAAGAAATACCATGTGCCATTTATGCCCATGGTTTTCTCATTTGGACTAGGACTTATAAAGATATTTAAACGGTGGTGCTATGCTGGTCTTGATATATGATTTTGTTGGTAAATCATTATTCCGCTAATGCAGATTGGCAGGCTTCAACCATATTGATAATGCATCTTCGTGTTCTAATTTCTTTTATTGGATGAATGAGTTTCTTTCTGAATTTGTTTTAACTCTAGGTTTCTTCATACATGCTCTGTATTTACTAATACATTTAAATATGATCGCTAAATTATGATAAAAAGGGCGAGTCCAATGTATGAGGCTCTCACTAATGCAGAATATTGGAGGGTCAATATGCAATCTTATCTTACATGTGGAGAGATTGTTTCTATCACTCGAACCCTGACCACCCATGTTGCAAATGAGCAACCTTAGCATCATCCCAAGGCCACCCTCATTGCTAAATCATGATAGTTTCTTAAATTTGTGGTGTTGCAAACAAAACATTTGCATTTGTGAATGGACTTCGCTTACCATATCAATATTTAATGTTACTGATTCTATAATTATTGCATGAAGAAAATGAGAGGTGATCGTTAAATTTACTTGCAACCTTTTCTGTGTTCATTGGAAATAAAACCTTGAGCCATTACAGACATCTTTTTAAGAAAATATTTTTATGATCTAACTAAACTCCTTGATTTTTTTTTTTTTTGGTATGCCATCAAAGCAATCAGGCTTTTCATGGATTTTTGATACCTTCTGCTGTTCTATTGACTTTGTTAGGAAGGAAAACCACCCTTCTCCATGGGTAGTGGGCATAAAAGAGTGGAGTTTGATCAAGCCTACAAACGTTAAGCATGGCTTGATATTAATTTCAAGCCTAGATAAATGAACAAATGTATTAGATATTTGTTCAAGCTTAAATTGGGTCTATTTGGAACCAAATTAAACTGGATCACATATTAACTGGTTTGACAACTAAATTCATGTCAGTGTGTTTCACACGTGCATGTGCATCTAAATCTGTGTGCATGTGCGTACAAGTGACTGCACGTACAATGAGTTGCCTTTTCCTTTTTCTTCTTCTTCTTCTTTGTCAATTGTTCTTGCTCTTTTACGATGTAGGCTGGGGTTTCCATCATCATCTCCCAAACGGTGGGAAGAGGAAACTGCCTATTGTCAATATCCAATGCAATATAACTTCTAAAAGTCATTCTTAAAGAAGTGTCTTTTGTTCAGGAATATATAAGAACAGCATTTCAAAGGCTTGTCCCATGTTCCCTTAGTAGCTCAATAGGTTACATGTTGTTCAGAGATTTTTACCACACTGGTCCCACTTTTATAGTTGCTTTTCTTTATCTACTATGGTCAAGAGGAGAATACTGTGTTTGTGTCTTTTGTTATTGGTTAAAACTATATATTACAATTGTAATTTTTAATTGATAAGTTATTATAAGTACATTCAGATCAATTGCAAATAGAGAAGCAGTTTGATCAGTGGAACTTTTGTACAATTCTGAAATAGTGTCTGGTTGTATCTCTCAGTATTACAATGTTGATAACTCTGAGGTTTGCTGTTACATAATAATTAGTTTCTATCTTATAGTGAAATTGTTGGACTGGGGACAAGATGGGGTTACCATAGATGCTGAAACTGCTGCTCTTCGGGCATCGTTTCAGCAAGAGGTTGCTGTTTGGCATAGACTAGACCATCCAAACGTCACCAAGGTAAAAATTGAGATATATTAACTTGTCAATGTTGCTTCACTTTTTATGTTGTCCTTGGGAGTCTTGAATCTTGATGGTGATTATGGAATAAGTTGTCTGCTTCATTTGATGGAAAGTTGTCAGCATAAATCAAGCCAGCTAATTGTGAACTATGTCTTGGAAGTATAAACCATAATTTAATATGCATGGTTCATTCTCTTGTTATCTTTGACATTGATTTTGGTTTCATGTGGTCATCCATTCAGAAGCAGTTTTATTCTCCCCTCCTGTTATAATCATCTTGAATGAATAGATTTTTCAGCTTACAGCTCGGATATTGTGGATTACAGTTTGTTGGGGCTTCCATGTGGACTTCAAACCTCAAGATTCCACAAAATGATTCTACTAGTAATTGCCATAGCTCCCTTCCAACTCGAGCGTGCTGTGTTGTTGTCGAATATCTTGCTGGGGGAACATTGAAACAATACTTGATCAAGAACAGGCGAAGGAAGCTCCCCTACAAAATTGTGATTCAAGTTGCACTGGATCTTGCTAGAGGGTAAGTGTCTGGCCAGAAGTCCTATGTTTTTGCTTATAATTGTAAGGAGCCATGTAACATTCTTGAGAATGCAGGTTAAGTTATCTGCATTCGAAAAAGATTGTGCATCGTGATGTCAAGACTGAAAATATGTTACTGGATACCAATCGAAAACTAAAAATTGCTGATTTTGGTGTTGCACGTGTCGAGGCTCAGAATCCCAGGGACATGACTGGTGAAACTGGAACCCTAGGCTACATGGCTCCAGAGGTGCACATCTCATAACATGTTACATATGTTTTCATGATAAATATATTTTTAGAAGAACAATGTATCAGATTTACAAAGCTTATCCAGAATATGCTCGTCATCCTTATAGATTCTGAGCTATTGTTAATGAGTCAATGAAGCTATTAGAGAAACTTTAAATAGCATATGAAGTTTGAAGTTTGAGTAGAAGGTCTAGTTCTTTTTGTGGCTTGTAATACGTAAGATATGACAGGTGAGCATTTTGCAGGTCCTTGATGGTAAGCCATACAACAGAAGATGTGATGTTTATAGCTTTGGCATATGCTTATGGGAAATATACTGCTGTGACATGCCATATGCTGATCTTAGCTTTGTCGACGTGTCCTCCGCTGTTGTTCGACAGGTTAGTCCCATCATGAAGAAAATCGTTTATTTATTTATTCTCTATTTTATAAACAATGAGCTGCCTTTTTTATTAATTAAGGCAGAGAATGTTCATGAATTCTTTTTTTTTTAATTTGTTGTTTCAAAGTTTCTTGTTGCTCTAGTTTTGAATTAAATGACATCAAGATTCTCTCGAGTATGTAAGTATTTATGTTGAATTTTACAGAATCTACGACCTGAAATTCCTCGGTGTTGTCCAAGTTCTTTGGCAAATATAATGAGGAAATGTTGGGATGCAAACCCAGATAAGCGACTGGAGATGTACGAGGTCGTGAAGCTCTTGGAGGCAATAGATACCAGCAAAGGTGGTGGCATGGTACCTGAAGATCGGGCTGCTGGCTGCCTCTGCTTTTCCCTGGCTCGTGGTCCATAATTCATTTATCGGACAGCCCTTGTTTTTTGAATCCTTTTATCACAACAAGAGACAAGGAGCACTGAATAGCAATTGCCTACTTGCATAAAGGTCATTGCCTCAGACTTGTGTGGGTCGAGTCAAATGACTGGAAAGATGCTATGTACTTAAATATCCATGCCATTTTTAAATATCGACCTTGGCGCATAAGTTATTTTTGCATGAATACAAATCACAATTTATCCATTGCTAGATGGGTTTTGGTGCTATTTATTTTCACTGTGTATGTTGTCAAATTAGAAGCCATTAGTGCAACTGGAGGATTTTAACCACAACAGCAATCAACTCAAACTGTTGTCTGAGATTTGTCCTTCAGAGATGAACAATACCATATCAGACTTAAAAAGTGTCCATTACATCTACATTGATGACATGAGAAAGTTTGATATATATAACCAGGCAATTCTTGTGAAAAGCTAAAGAGGGCTGATGAAGAGAATGCCATAGAAGATGCCAACCTGGTCACTCAAGTTGTTGGCAAAATAAACTTCTGTATGTGCTCTGTAGAACATTTTAGCAGCTCTGATTAATAAAGGAAGCATGCAGTATCAGAAAGAGGTGATATACGCCATTCAAAACTCTCTTTTGGTACCTGGGTTAGTGCTTGCAGAGATGTCTTTGTGTTTGTATGCTGTTACTGTGAATTTGATCCTTGACGCCTTTTGTGACCAATACACTTTGGATGGCTAGAAATCGTGATGAGATGCGGCATGAGAGTAGGAAAAAGTATATCCTCTACTCTGCGACAACAGATTATTCATCTTTAATGCTCTGTATGTAACAAACAAAGAGGAAAAAGTTGGCCTTGTTCTTCAAAATGACAAGACTGGGATTTACTCTTGCAGGATGCTCCTCTGAGTACTACACTTCTTTTTACATGTTATTTGTTGCGGAGTTGGAGATTGTAACATGAAGGATCAGAAACACTATTTTGGATTGTTTCTAAATTTGATCACTACAAACATTCTTGTGTCCTTAGAAAAGCTAATTATGATAGATTCCACTACATTTCCTTTTTCACCAGAAGTGCTTTCTGTAACTATAATATATGAACTCATTTCCACCTGCAAATGTTCCTGCTAGTGAACTCCTAGCATTGCTAAAACAGATAGCATATATTCTTTCCAGATTTGGAAATAGCAATATTTCATATTTAAGTTTTAATATTATAAATTTATTTCTTTATATATATATATATTTATATGTATGTATGTATGTATGTATATACAAATCGAACTTTCAACGTCATGATATTTTTATAGGATAGTTATGTTAAATTTTAATTATATTTTATAAAATTATCTGATCATATATATTATTTGTAGAAATGATTTTGTGTTAGATCAAACGATAACTCGAGGATCATAATATCACATCAAAATATTAGATCAAACTATTCAATCCTGACCCGATCATACATGGATCGATCCAAATCAAACCAACTCGTCTCAATGAACCAAACAAGATTGGCTTTTACCACCTGGATCAAATTTGAGCTCAATTCTATGTTCTTATTCGAGGCATGAGCATCAAATTCCCTCTTTGGGTTGGCATCAGCTCTTTAATGCGAATCTCAACACATCAACATCATCCCAACCCTCCACTCCAATTCGACATCAATTCCCTTCGTCCCCGCTCGCACCAACCCAATGGGCCGGCCCGCCCAATCACAGCCGTCCATCAACTGCGCCCCGTCGTCTCGTGCGCCTCTGGGCACCCTCATCCCACACCGCCTCCACCCCACCTCCGCAGATGCGCATATCCGCTATCGGGGTCGCAATTGCCACGCCGCTGCCGTGCGACGAGCTCCTTCTCTCCCTCTCTCGATCGATCGATCCATCCATCCATCCCGCAGCGAAGTCAACTGGGCGACGCGACCATTCGATCCCTCATAGGTATAATCTTTCTCTTCTCGATGTTGTTTCTTGGGTTCTTTCTCTTCCTTTCTTCTTGCGGTGGGATGAAGGCGAAGTTGTGAGCTTTGCACGCGTTTGTCTTGCTCTCTTTGCGTGCGGGTTTCGGTGATCTTACTGCGATGTCCGGGCGAGACCCTAATTCGGCGAGTGACAATTCGTTTTGCTCCAATTTGACGAGAGGCTTCGCAGGTTGTGGCGAATTGGTCTGGTTGTGCTTACCTTGGTGTTAGTCCTATAGGGCACTTTGATTTGCTGTGATGCGGTGGTCCTTGTGGTTGGATTTCCCTTGCCTTGCCTCTGCTTCTTGGTTTGCCTTGTAGGAAGGTTTCTTGTTGGATTCTTTTCTTGCTCTGGTGTCATTAGGTTTCATTTTATGATCTTTTCGTGGCTTTTACCCGGAGGTTGGACAAGATGTAGTGATGCGGTGTTCCTGCGATAATTAGGGTCCGGTGGTTGCTGTGATTAAGTTTCATGCAACATATTAGATTTTCTAGGTTATAGTTGAACCAAATAGATCTCACAAGAAATTATGGTCTGCAACGTCATCTTTTTGTGTCTGATTTGTTTATAGAATTCCTCCGTAATTGATGTGGTTCTTGTTGTTCTTCTGGTTCTTTTTTGTCACCTTGGAAAATTCATAGTAGATTTTCTTAGTTCATGAAACTTTGGCTTTCTGATTAATGGGGTATCGATCATGAATATAGGCTTTCTGAACTTTCCAAGCTTTGTTTCATCGACATTGCCATCAAATATGTGATATTTGTGGAGGTCATAAATATTCTTCTCTGGGAATCTAATTATTGCAAAAAGAAATCTAGATGTAAAGGTGTCATCTCTCTTTATTCCTTATACCATCTTTACCTTCATTGATGATTCCCTACTCTTTTTCCTTCTGGGTAAGTAGTAGTTTCTTTGCATATTATATGGTGTATGGTGCTGATAGTTGGATTTATCATGCATGTTTTCGGCTACATTTTCTTCCTCTTAGCAAGGTCACAAATTAATGATTGTCAATCATTGTGTCTCAAACATGGAAGGCCTTTTTGAAGAACCTGTGGAGCTACCACTCACTGAACATCCATTTATTTTGATGTAACTTCATTTTCAACCATAGTCAGTACTACTGCTGCTCTAGAGTTTTTCTTTTGCTCTTGGCTCTTCTTTTTTGACACAGAATTAAAATTTCTATTAAAATTATTTTCATTGTCCTTCCTGGGCCAGATTGTTTCACGTCATAGTTGCTCCTTGGTGTCCTTTTGTCTGCTAGAATAGTGTTTTTCTATGATCACAGTTCCTTCATTTATTGCTCTGCTTGGATATTGGTGAGGTTTGTTGTCCTTCAAGCAATTGTATTCAACATCATACTTGTTCTATGATATCCTTATATCATTCATTTCTCTAACAATGTGATATTTGAGCGACAATCTTTACCGATATTTTGTCTTGATAATCATACTTTAGCTTAGTTTCCTAGTTGCTTTTAACTAGTTTACCTGTTTTCTTATTATTGTAATGCCATACATGATCCTCCACATTCTGGACTGTTTAATTGGTGTCCTGTCTTTTAATCAGCCATTGATGAGGTTGGATATTGCATTACATTAAGGCTCAGTCTCCTTTACCTATGCTTACAATTGATAAAAGAAGTAAAAGGATTTGTAACTTGTAATACCATAAACAAGAGAAAAATTTCTTCCTTACCGAGATCTCTATATTGCAGAATAGCAGTAGATTGTTAGTAAATGTATAATAATAGAACTGATGCTGGAGTAACCTGTTCCAGTTACTGTAACAGTTTAAATTGTTCTTCTGTACTTGAGAAAAGACAAGATACTTGTAATTTTCCTTTTGTCCAGAGTCTAGACTGGATCAGACTAAAATTTAAGGGACTGTTAATTCATGACCAGGATGGAAACCTGAATCTGGATTGGAATCAGTTGGACTCTGTCAGAATTGCTAATTGGAGTTCATTAATTTAGGACTGAAATCTTGTTTCAATCACAATTTTTTTGTTTTTGAGGCATTATGATAATTGCTGGATATGAGTAAGGGTGTTTTTGTCATGATAATTTTTCATTGAGTTATATTAGGAATGGTGGCTAAAATATTATCCGTTTGATTTCTGAAAAAAGGATGATGGGCTCCCTGAAGAAGGGGAACTGGAATCTGATATGGCTAGCCAAGCATCAGGTATTGGGAGTTCTTGACCTTAATTCTGATGTTAACCCTTAAATTCCTTGAACTGAAAGCCATATTTAAAATAATCATAACCAATTTTTTTATTGTTTTTGTCATATGGTTTGTTGAATGATATATAAACCTTATTTCTCTTTTGTAAACAATCAATTTGCTTGTCATTTTTGAGCCTTGGAAAGGTTGGCCTGCTCATGTACTTAGTTTATTTATCTATGTCTGGAAGGGTTTGCATGTAAATTGAATTATTTTAAACTTGATAATTTGCTAGCTTGTAAGTTGATCCAAAGTGGTTCAATTTTTGGTTTGGACTTGTCTAGGCTGCACAATTTAAGAACTGGGAAAGTGACAGTTAAGGTATCTATAAGTAAATCCTTTGGGTTTATAGCAGTATTTTCAAGAATTTTAGGTTCTAAATATATGGTTAAAAATTGTAGCCATTATGCAGGTAGTTGACATGCTACCATGGTCTGTGTGCTACACTGCCATATAGGCAATTGTTCAATAATCAAAACTATTAGAAAAATCTTAAGAATAAATTATAGTAAAAAGGTATATTCCATTTATATACATAAATTAAACCAGTCTTTATTTTGACATTATAACAAATAAAATAAAATAGTGGTTTGAATTGCCTTAGAGGCCAAGACTTCTTTTTTTATGATAATAAAAGGTAGAAAATAAAAAGAGCATGCAAAGAGAAGGATAAATGGAAAAATTGAGGAGAATATAAAAAAGTGCCAACTTCTACTTTTTAAGTAATTGTTGCTAATGGTCATCTTGTACTCATTTCATTGTCAATGCATCCATCTTTTTCTTACTTTGTTGGAAAAGGAAAATAAGATTTGGTTATCTTAGATGAGGAAAGTATGTGACTCGTAATGTGGGTCAATTCATGAATTATATGGAGCTTAATGCACTATTTGATTTAAAAGCCATATTAAATGAACTTACTGTTGCTCAACTGCTTAGCATCCATAATGTCAGGACAGGCCATCTGGGGCCCTAGGTGAGGCATGGATGGGTCTATCTTATCTGAGGCAGTTGTCTACTCATTCTAGATGGTTATTTTTTTGATGCAATGGTTTTTGAACCTATGACATTGGGTTTCCAAGACCCGTATTCTACCGAACTGAACTAAGAGTACATTCTTATGCTTTTGACAGGAGATATGACTGTCCTGTAAAGAAAAGTATTTTTCTACCCAAGACATCTTGCATATATAGAGTATGTAAGACTGGAAGATTATGTCCAATTTTAATTGATCCCAATTAATCTCTCGTTACTTCCCATAGAAGGAATGGTTAGCAATGACAGAATTTGAACCTGTTATGTTGCAGATCTGAAGTCGAATAATAACATTTTGAAGTTGGAAACCCATAACTTCTACATGATAATTAAGGAGAATAATGTAAGAAGTTATCAGGAAAATACAATAATAACGCATGCCACATTGATGTTGTGCCTATGGAATTGTTGGTCTCATATCATCAAATATTATACAGTGTAGAGAATTTTCTTATTCATCAATTTGGTATTTTTCAAACATATACACCTATTTCTATTAAGAGCTACATAATTACACGATAAAATAAAGACAGCACAAATACAATAATAAAAAAGAACCAATATTCCTTTTTTTTTTTCATATTCTATTTGCTTAAAAAATTAAGCGAATAATCATTATTCATCTCCACTAATCGTATGTGTACAAGTAGATATTGCTCTCAAATAAGAATTGATTAGTCATCTTTTCATTTTGATGTTTCATCTATTCTTTATAGAGTTAGAATCAAGACTGTTAAATTCTAATGCCTTTTGCTAAGGAAATTTTATTATGGAAAATGCAGAGACAAAATTTAACTATTATAAGATTTGTAACATAGAAGCCTAGTTCATGTAACTCTAAGTATCCACCCTTTTGTCGTTGTTTGCACATACTGAAACTAGTATGTATTATTTTCATCCTTGTACACAGTGTTCTTTTGATTGATGAGCTTTTGTTTTTATCCTTTTTTTTAGTTAGAAGCCTTTTCTTTGGACTTGCCATAGAACTTTTTTGTGTTGGATTTTATGCTATACCGTAATTTCTTGCATCTATCATTTGCAATTGTCATTGGAGGAACTTCTAATCATCCTGAATGGCACTTTTCATCTTTGTTGAACCTTTATATTAATGATATTCTTTTTAAAAGCAATTGTATTTTGACAAAGAGAATTTTCTTTAGGTGAACCATGATAGATCCACTAGAAATGATATGTTACCTGTATAAGCCACGGGAAGTTATTTTTCCCTGATGCATACCTGTAAGCCTCGGGAAGTTATTTTTCCCTGATGCATTTTCTTTCTCTTCATCTTGTTTCTTCAAAACACCAAAGGCTTCAATTTGATTTTAGCAAAAACTGATGAAACTTAGCTTTTATGCGAGTGCATATTAAGCCGCATTGAGAGTCTTGCATTTCCTGTTCTTTCTGATTGGCAATTCAATCAACAATTCATGTCAAATCTTTCTTGCTATATGATCAACTTTTCAATTCCTTGTTAAACTGCATGTCTCCAATATCAGTAATTTTATTACATATATTTATGATTTTTTCTTGAAAATATTAGTCAAAGGGAGTTGAAACTTTTGTTCTCTATCTTATTCGATTGGCAACCTGAAGTCAACTGGCTTCTTCTTGGTTATCATTCATCAGTACTTGCTAAAGTTTGTTCTTCCTGTGGAGTTGATACTCTGTTATCATTATCATATATATCTAAGAGTTTATGATTTCTTACACCTTAATGTGAGCCAGTTGTTGATTCCTTGTTTAGTTTCAGATTGTCATCTGTCTAGACATTTAGACTAATTCTGGACCTGATGAGTGATTCATGAATGTGCTTCCTTGGTCTTCCTTAAGGATATGAATTGCCGATTAATAACCATATGATCTTTGTGTTAGAGTTGGCCACTGCTACTGAAGTGCAAGCATTGGATCTCAAGTTGGAAAAAATTGGTTAAGTACACTTGCACAATGAATGTGTCCTTGTGCATAATGTTCTCTTTTGGTGGAGCCATGTTTATAGAAAAAAGGACAATTGCATATGCTACCTAACTTTGAACATTTGGACCTAATGTTTCCTTTTGTTGCTGTTGTTGGTGTTCAACTAGGTATTGTCTTTTGCTCTAGGGCTCTGCCAAAAATTAGAATGAAGGCATATTAGTGGCTGTTAGGTAGAAACTAATGTTGTTCATCATAACAAATACAAAGTTAGATGTGCATTTCCATTTTTCTTGTCATTTCCGTTCATTCTATCTTGTTGTAAGATTCATATCATGATATGTCTCATGGTACTTGGAGAAAATTCCAGCATCACATAAATGAAGTGATGTATCTAAATACTTATGTGAGGAGGGACCTTTCTAAACTAGTGTCATGCCAAAACAAGCTAGTTCAAGGACAACCTTTAAGACTGAAAGTGAAGATTGTTGTAGATTTAACTAGTTTTTAAAGTTAACTTTTGTAGTTTATATAAACAGGACAACTCTGCTAGACTAGTGAACCGTTATGCTAATACTGGTATTACCCATCTGTTTCTTACATGCTATCATGAGCCAAAAGAAGAAGTATATTGGCATAATGATGGTGTCATGGACAGGCAAAAGGTTCCACAAAAAAAGTGCAAAAAAATAGTGATCCCACAGGTAGGTGAATCGATAATATCATCATCAGGTTATCTGCAGCGTTGTATCAGTTTTAGTTATAAAGGTTAGAATGCCAGGAAGATGTTTAAAGTTTTCACTTTACAGCTGAATAATGAAAGTAGGCAGGCATGTTTTGTTCTTGATGGAATTTCCTCTCTTCAGGGCATTGCACATGCAAGAATCTGTTTGGACATTAGATTTTATCCTATTTGCTGATTTCTTGTCTTCCCTACACACAAACATCTAATGTTTCTGAAAAGATGATTATCTCTGTTAAATAATTTGGTTTTAGTGTGTCCTGGAATGCTGTGAGCAGTTGTTAATGCTAGCTACCGGATTAGGTGATTGCAATATTTGTTGGGTTGTGCATGTGACAAATTTCTGTGAACTGGGCAAAATTAAAATATTTGTGTGATGAGTGACACTTGGCATAAGCACCATCCTTAGTTGTGTTGGCTTCTTTTGCAATTTGATAAAATTGTATGATTGAAGTTAGTGGGCCTAGGTACATGTCCAGCCACATTATAAGTTATGTTTGTGTTGTTTATCTTGTGTAATATGATGCAAATTATGTCATCATTGCTTGCATTTCTATGTATATGACACGTGTTATTTCTAATATTTATTTTTTTGTTCTGTGATACACAAGGATTTGTAGTATTAGATGAATTGCTATCATTTATATTATTTGGTGATTAAAATTTGAATTTGATTGAATATCTGTCTTTGAAATATTGACCATAACCAACTTTTGTTGATCTACACTTTCTACACCTTTCGTTAAGAGATAGAGGTTAATGGGGAGGATTGGATACATCAGAATTATAGATGCAATAGATATTTCACATACAACATATATCATTCAATCCTAAGCAGGATAGATGTGATAAGGCCTTTGCCTGTGTGTTTGGACAGCGGTAGAAAAAGTTGCTGACTGCACTTCACTTTGGTTGGAATGAGTTCCATTTAGATTGCTTGTAGCTGATCTATTGTATCTAATGGTTTAGGGGCAAATAAATCAGCTGTACCTTATGACATATTTGTTAGAAGTTTTGCAGCCATATGAAGAAGAATATGTTAAACATAGTGGAAATGATGTTCTCAACCAATAGTTATACAATATTAACAGTCGATTTCATGTTGTCCTGTAATGTGAAAGAAAGTAAAATAACCTCATAAGTAGAAGGGACATTCTTGGTTTGGGAGGATGTTTTATGATATATTCTGTTAAATTTTGTACCTGCAGTAAGATTTTGGTGTGGATGCATCTATGGAGTCAAATGAAGTACTATGCTTTCTCTGGTGACTTTGTCATGTTTTTATGTCATCATTCTTCATCATTCTATTGATTTTATGAGTATTTCAGGTTTTAGAGAACATTTGTTTCTTCACTTCAATGTCAACTATCAAATATTTGATGGCGATATCACTGATTTTGCAGGTTGTGGGATTTCACCAATTGCTTTAGTTTGCCATGTCAAGTAACCTGAATAAGTAGACATTATGTCGCCTTTGATTGATGGTCTCCCTGATGAAGTTGCTATCCAGTGCCTGGCACGTGTGCCTTTCTACTTTCATCCTCAATTGCAGCTTGTTTGTCGTTCGTGGAGAGCTGTTCTTCGAAGCCCCGATATCTTCAAGACTCATTGTGAAGTTGGGGCATTGGAAGAGTTACTTTGCGTTTTAGCATTTGAGCCTGAGAACATTTGGCAGCTATATGATCCTCTGCAAGACCGTTGGATAACCCTACCAATTATGCCATCAGAAATCAGGCACCTTGCTCGTTTTGGTGTGGCATCAGTTGGTGGAAAGCTCTTTGTGATTGGGGGAGGTAGTGATAGAGTCGACCCATTGACTGGAGATCATGACCGAATCTTTGCAAGCAATGAGGTTTGGTCATATGACCCATTTCGGTGCGAGTGGGAACAAAGGGCCCCCATGCTTGTACGACGGGCAATGTTTGCATGCTGTGCACTGGATGGCAAGATTGTTGTAGCAGGGGGGTTCACAAACTGTCGGGAATCAATAGCAAATGCTGAGATCTATGATCCTCAGTTGGATACATGGGAACCCCTTCCCAATCTCCAGCATTCCCATAGTTCTGCATGCTCTGGTGTGGTCATTGGGGGAAAGATGCATGTTTTGCACAAGGGATTATCGACAGTGCAGATATTGGAGGATGGGGGCAAACAGTGGGATGTGAAAGACTATGGTTGGCTCCAGGGTCCAATGGCTGTGGTCCATGGCGAGCCATACGTTCTGAGCAATGGCTGCATCTCCAAGCAATGTGGACAGAACTTACCCGATAGGGTGGTATCATATGCGTCGGAGTTCCAGAGCCGAATTGGATTTGGGATGATAGGGGTGGGAGATGAGATCTACATGATTGGAGGAGTGATCGGGCCTGGCCCCAGGAATCAGTGCATCAAGCAGCTGTCTGATGTTGATGCCTTAAATGTTAGAAGCGAGAGGCCTACGTGGCGTCCCTTATCGCCCATGACACATTGCTGTGGTAGCATCCTCGGGTGTGCAGTGCTCAGGATCTAGTTATGATCATTGGATGCTCATAGCTATGCTTCCCTCTTATCGAAAGGATGATAAGATTAGAAGCCTTCTTTTTTTGGTCTTTCTGTAATATGTCATCTCTGGGCTCCTTTATTTCCATGTTGCCCTATTGTTAGCAGCTTTTAGAAAAGCTTCAAATCTAGATATAGGGTTGTTGTCATTGCCCACTGAAATCATCTCTTGTTTGTGGTTCAATGTGGATCATCACATATAGATTTAGAGTGGGAGTAACCATCTGTGTGGTGCTTGAAAGTCAGGATAAATAGATGGGTTTGTGAATCTTCTTTACCTGTTAAAGCAGAACTTGTTTGGATTGTGAAATATACAAAACTTATAGGAGGATATGATTAGAGAACAACAGTGCTACTGTCTCATTCTCTGGCTGTTGCTTTGGCTCTCCTTCAACAATGAGGGATGGCCAGCCAGCCAGTCAGCCTTCAGAAGCACGTATAGTATGTCTCTGGTTGCAGTTTTTGTTTCAACCACAGTAACAGATTTGTTGCTATATGAATGATCTATGCTTTTTTTTTTTTATCAGATTGGTTGCAGTTGTCAGTGCTGCACACAACATATTAGTCAAGTTCTATTCTTTTTTCTCCTTTTATTTTCATCTTTCTTCTCTTTTCATGTCTTGATCCCCATCTCTGTCTCCTCCCTTGTTCTGTGTTTCCTCTTTCCTCACTTGTACCTTTCATTTGTAGAAGTTCCTCCTTGCTTCATTTATAGGAGTTCCTCTTTGTCAACATTACTCTTCTTCACTTGTGCCTTTAATTTATGGAAGTTCCTCTTTGTTAACATTACTGCTATTAGGACTTTAGCTTCTGCGCAAATGGATTGTGTTCTTGAGAGGTAGAAATTTTATAGAAATAAATATAAGTATTATAAGTTTTATATATATATATATATATAAACTGATGGAGGGGGGGTTGAATTAGTGTTTTTGAAAAGTTAAATTGATTTGATAACTTTCGTTTGAAACGTGAGTAAAAGTATTAAGCAATTAAATCAATAAACAATAAGAATGAAAGCATAAAGGAAATGTACACTAAATTTATAGTTCGGTCATCATGATCTACATCCACTTTTGATTCCTTTTCATTTGAGGTCATCGGTTTTCATTACCAATCTTCTTTTCAATAGGCGAAGATCAACTATCCTTTCTTATTCACACATCTCTTTTATAAAAGATCTCACTTCTTCCTTAAAAGATTTCTAAATTTTAGGAGGAAGAGACTTAGTAATTCAATAGAAATTATAACACTTTTATCCTTAGGAATTCTTTCCCCTTTCTACTCCTCTTGCTAACCCAAACAAGAATGAGTGAGATATTTATAGGCTTCAAATGACTTCAAAAATAGAGCCAAAAAATTTAAATATCCTAGTTTTCGGGGTATTGGTGGTACCATCGCCTACCACCCTTTGCACTAGGCTTGGCTCAATTTCATGTCACTGAATTAGCCATTTAATAGGCCCAATTCAGCTTTGATTCAAGCCCAATGGGCTCCTAATCAAGTTGGCATGATTACACCTAAAATTAACTTAATTAAAACCTAAACTACTTCGATCAAGACACAAATAATTACAAACATGAATCCTATGTTGTCCGGCATATCATTAAATCATCTAGTGCTTCGTCCGAACCTTCAACACATCGTCCTCTCTTTCGATGTATTGCCCGATCCATCGATATATTGACCTCTTGTAATATCCAATCTTCTTGGCATAATCTCTGATCCTTTTGGCTTGATGCCCAAACTCACGACATGAAGTCTATCTTTCAACACGTCGACCAATCCTCCGGCTCGACATCCAATCTCTGACATAATACATTCCGGGCCAATGTCTGATTCTCTTGCTTCAATCGATTTGCCTTTCCATGATCGAAGTTAGTCTTGCGTCAGTCAAATTTTCATTAGATCATAACTTCGTCAATTGATTTAATTATCAAAATTCAAAATTTAATAGAGTCAAGTGAATTATTATGAAAATAATAATTCACTATGTTAAAAAGAGTTCTGACAAGTATGACTAACGGCCAACTCGATATTGGGCCTAGATGATCACACACATATGGCAGGTGTTGCGACGAGTAGAGGCTCAGATATGAGATATCTGTTGGAGTCCTTATCTTATTGGATATCCAATAAGCCTCTGAATTATTAGATCTAATGGATAAGATCCAATAAGACCTAATAAAAGATTATGTGGGTAAATATCCACTAATCCAAGAGGCTTGGGTAGTTCGATGAAGATCCAATACCCAATAGGGCAGGATCTATTAGGGTTAAATTGAAAGGAACCTCTATAAATAGGAGTGAACCAAAAGGGACAGAGGCTAGACTTCTTTTGGTTGCCACCTCCTATACTCCCCCCCTCTCCTCCTCAGTCGATAGCCCTAGTTTAGGGCGTGTGGATAGCAAAAAGGGGTGGCCCCTTCTTGATCACGTAGTGCGCATGGAGAGGAAGATCGTGCAGCGATTTGAGGAGTATCTTCGTCGCATTTGCCATGTGGATCACAACTAAAGAGGACATCTGACCTCCTTCATCCTCTTATATCTGTAAGTTTTCAAGGGGTATACGATCTCTTTAGGTAATGTATCTTTTATATACACGTAGTATTTTATTTTGCAAGTTTCTGCCCAACAATCTTCGTACAACAACAAGAAGCATTTTTCTACGAAAAATCTTGGATTTTTGTTTTCTGTCCTTTTGTTGCACATGTGATGTTGCCCCAGGTTTCCCAACAAGGGTAACCTCGCCAACGGTAATAGTAGTAACCTTTGTGCCATTCCCCATCCTAAGGTCCACCTCACCTTTCGCCAATCTCCTATCTTTTACTAGAACCAATAGTAAATTGCAGATATGAGATGCACTGTCGGTATCCAATACCCATGCATTATCATAACTTTCTAATAAATGGAGATCAATCATGAATTTACCTGAAGCTTCTCCAAGCTTCTATTTCACCTTTTCTATAAGGTACTCTTTATAGTTCCTCTTCTAGTGCACATCTTTCTCATAGTAGAAGTACTATCCTTTGTCCTTTGTCGGGTCCTTTTTAGCAACCTTTGCCTTTGCCGACCTGCTCTTGCCCTTGCCCTTCTTAAGGGACTTTTTGTCTTCCTTTTCTTTTTGGTCTTACCAACATAGAGAATTGGCTTCTCTTTCTTGATGGTTCTCTCAATCTTCTTCAATATATTGAGAAGCTCAGGGAGAGTTATATCAAACTTATTCATGTTAAAATTCATTATGAATTGTGAAAATGAATATGAGAGGGACAAAAGTATAAGATCTACACACAGGTTATTCTCTAGGACCATTCCTAGACCTATGAGCTTCTCTATCAACTCAATAATCTTAAGGACATGATTTTGAACTGATGTCCCTTTAACCATCCTTGCGCATAAGAGACTTTTGGATATCTCATATCGTTGGATCCTTCCCTATTCCTCAAACAATTTATAGAGATGAAGGAGGATGGATTTGACATCCATCTTTTCATGTTGCCTTTATAACTCGGGAGTCAAAGAGTCCAACATATAACACTGAGCAAGAGTGGAATCATCTATATACTTTACATAGCAAGTGATCTCATCCTTACTTACCCCTTCCTCGAGCATAGGCACAACTGTGTCAAGAACATACATAATTTTTTCTACTGTGAGAATAATTCTCATGTTACAGAGACAATCTGTATAGTTCAGACCAGGGAAATGGTTGACATCTAGTATATCACGTAAGGGATTTGCGAGCGATATATTTTTTGAAAAAGTAAAGATGTAATAGAAATATAAGTAACATACAAATTTTAGATTTTGTGAAAAGACAATAAAGATATGGACTTTTATCTTAATCTACTCCCACTATTTTTTCACGAAACACACGACACCCTCCGACATATGAATCAAAAATCTCCGACAGATTTCTAATGGGCATCGAGATCCAATTACTGTTTTAGTTTGACCTCGAGGGATTCAACCAATCATACTAAGCCCAAAAGGTAAGCAACTCTTGCCAATCACAACTCCTTGTGATTTCCATAATGTTCGGCCTCCAAACCATCATAGCCTTGAGGGACTTGACCAACCATGATGTTCAGTTAAGTTAACACAATCATTACAAGATAAGTAATTCGATAATATACTCTCGAGGGACTCGACCAAGTATACAAGTAATTCAATGATGTCCTCAGGTCACCGGTGACATCTCCATATCATAGGCAAGATCTCAAATCTCAATATATGTAAGTCTCGAGGGACATGACCAACTCAACCCATATCGAAAAATAGTTTATGCCTATAATGATGGAAGGTCACATGAGTTAATTTAATTGCTTCATGTTTACCAACTTAATATTATTATTAGAGGAATTTTTGGATTTAATATAGTCTTGTAGTTAAATATATCATGTCACACACATATATTGAATATATATTTATATCGCATGCAAATATATATACGTAGTAGGTGTAGAAATATATATCACAATTATAAACATACTCTACACCAGATGATCATGGACCATAATCTAGTGTGATCAGGCTTGAGCTAAAAAGTATGATCATGCATATAAAGATCTATGTGTGTCTCGGTGCATCACCATACCCGGTGATCGTCCATCTCATCTCATTGGTCCCGCCGGCAACTCGACGTATCTCTATACCCGACAAACATCTATCTCATCCTCGTGGGTTCCACTAGCACGTCCATGCTCTCGTTACACTATCTTGTGCAATTACAACTTAATTATAGGCACGTAGACCCAAAAATATATATATTACATAAATGAGAAATCTTGATCTTATCAATGGGAGGTATATCACTAAGGGAGATAGAAATACATGTCACATATAATGAGAGAGAGAGAGAGACTTGCAAGCCTCAATAATAATCATATACACACATACACATCATCATACATAGCCCATAATCATCTGTCCACATTATTCATCACATGTATATGCACATATAGAATTAAATAATTAATAATTAATTAAATTATTTAATTAATACTTGAATTAATCCTTAATTCAATTTGGGAAACTCTGTAGTATCCACATTGTAAGGTATCCTAGGTGACTAGAAAACCCTGGCCACATGGGTTGCTTGGGTGGCCAGGAAACCCTAACCGCTATGCACTCTTGGCGGTCAGGAAACCCTGGCCGCTAAGGCCCCCCTTACGATCAGGAAACCTTGGCCGCTAGGGCCTCCCTTACGACCAAGAAACCTTAGCCGCTAGGGCTGGCTATGGCCTAGTCGAGGGCAACATGGCTGCTCTCGCCCATGTAGCCTTTGGCCAGGCCGAGAGCAATAAGTGCTATTCTCGACCAGGGCTGCAAGTA